CCCCCCGCTAGCCGGCTACAATGCTGTCTGAGAACAGAAATGTCTGATCGTTAGGACGTAACAGATCCACAATCTCTCAACAAAAGCTGCACCCGGTTCACGATCGTAAATATCTAGAAAAAAAGAACAAAAAGAAAAGACAAAGGTGAAACCGCTCGATGTATTCAACGTCCATGAGATTTCTCCTCAATTAAATCAGCCTGAGACTGCTTTGTGATCTTAGGGTATTACACATTTTAAAAACATTTTAAAAAACAACAAATAAAACCAAAACCAATAAAACAAAAGCAAACCCCAAACCTGCCCCTGAGGAATGGCTGGCAGTTCATGAAGTCCATCGTCGTCGCTCCATTGTACGGAGAGTCTTCATCCACAATTTGGGCGAGGTCAAATTCGCGTCTTAATTAACCTTTTTATGTAAAATTGTATCGTACACCCCCCCCCCCGACAATGCCCCGCCCCTGTCAAAAGAGACGTAAGATGCCGGTCTTTTGCTCGTTTGTGGTTTTTTCCTCAGTCTTCATTCGTGCTCACAATTTCAAACATCCGGATTACCAGAACTGAGTCCTGTTTTCTTTCTTCCACAGGTTCAGGTGCCGAAGACAAACCCGTGTTGTCTATCCAGGATTTGAACCCAAACCCAGAATGTGACTTTAAAAAAAACACACCTCTGTTTAGAACGTAACCTTGACCTTCAATAATTTATTTATAGAGGCACCCGCCATCCAAGTCCAGGAGCAGTTTTAGCCTTGAAAACGTGACTAAAAGCTTCCAGCATTGAGTGAACCTACACGAGCGTTGTGCAGGGATCGCTGTAGATTTCTGTGGCGCAAATTCCAGGAAATAACACCAGGTGACCTTGACACACACGTGTACACTGGTCAGTCTGTGTGAGCTTGACCCCGACGTATACACTGGTCAGTCTGTGTGAGCTTGACCTACACGTGTACACTGGTCAGTCTGTGTGAGCTTGACCTACACGTGTACACTGGTCAGTCTGTGTGAGCTTGACCTACACGTGTACACTGGTC